TGTCCAGTAATGGGTTGGTTGTTCTCCAGGCTGTACCGAGGTGTTGTGGCATTTTCACCTCTTCATGATAAAAGCCACAGGTCAAATGCTGGATTTTGAAATCTGGAAGTTTGCAGCATCAAAGGAAAAAACTTTTTTTTTTTTAATATTATCATATTAGCCTCCCCTTTTCCTCTTTCCCCAGTAATTTTATTACAAATTGTAGGAATTTGTCTTGCAGTTTCAAAGCTGCACAGCCAAGTGAACTGATTGCTGCAGCCTCTATTTGCAGATGTAACAGAGCTGGGAGTAACTCCTATCGTTCACTAGCAGTGGAGACACACTTGAAATTGAGAAAATCCTGGGTCTGCATTGTATTTCCTGATAAATTCCAATTTCCCTGCCACTATGATGGAAAGCAAGCTGAGATTTGATGAATGAAATTGAGACTCACTGTGCAACAGAGCTACAGCTTTGAAGAGCTGCCAGATTTCAGCAAATGTGAATAAAAAAGAAATAGATATTTCTGAATAAGTTGCCTTTCCTCTCTTCAAAAACAAATCACCTTCTTGTAAATTATCTTCTCAGGTGAGAATCCATCCTTCACAGAACAGGAGACAGGCTGTTCAGCAGAGTCAGTTGATAGATGTTAAAAGACAAACCACCAAAAGGCAAATATGTCTTTGGAAAACAGCATTAAGTAATATTTTAAAGAATGGCCACACATCATATTCACACAGATGCCAACAGGAAGCACAGCTCAGGAAAAGAAAAGCTTTCAGATAATCTCTACCCATTACAAAGGCAAAACCTCAACATCACTAACACATCTTAACTCATTTTCAGCTGTTGCCCTGCTCACATTTGATGCTGTACCGTGTATATGTTTCATACTTCAGCACAGACTTTTATCAAGAGGTTTATTCACTGAAATGTGCAAAATCCATAAAAAACCCCTCACTCGTATTAATATTTCATGTCTCACATACTTCTCATATCCAGGGGACCGTGGTCTAAATTGGGAATTTTCAAAAATGCTCCACGTTGGTCACACAGGGCTGCTGGAGCCAGTAATAAAACGTTGAGTATCACTGTGCACAGAGTGATGCAAGCGTTTCTGCAGGTTTGTGTCTCTACCTAGACCAGAATTTAGGCCATTTTGTCCAGGATTGCAGGCTGTGGTCACAGACCCCAGGGAGCCTTTCTCATCTAGGTCCTCCAACTGAAGTCTTCTGCCCACCAGCAATGCTGGTTGCAGTGTAACCAAGTTGGAAAAAAGGACAGTATGTTGTAGCAGTGTATAAATGTGATTTTGTACAGGATTTATAAGAAAAAAAATCTGGGGGAAGAAAAAATTTTCTTCTTTCCTCTCTACCATGGTAAAAGGACTCTCACCTTATTATAAAACATGTCCTTATTTGGCTACTTTTCCACCCTTTGACCAAGAAAATCCAGCAACACCTGAAGTTGATATCTATCAGCTGTGTTTGGGTCCTAGCAAGGAACACCTGGATCTGAAACATTAGCAGCAGGTGCCACTAATTGAGTATTTACTGCCTAAACACCTGCCAAAAAAGACAAAAAAGGGAGTGCGTGTGGTAAAGAAGAAAGAAATGAATCAGTGTAGTCAACTATGCAAAGTTCTGGGGGGAGAACTGAAATTTCACAAAGGAGATTAACAGCTATGCACAGTTAGGTTTACTAAAACAGATCTTTTCAGTGTAAATGGTGGTTTCTCTCTCTGGCAGAACTTGGGCTGAAGAGCAGGATTGCTCTTGAAGTAACTATGTAAAATGCAATGACATTGTGGGAGCCCACCTCGATGGGGCTGGATATTTAGCTGATGTAGCACTCAACTCCTCATTTTCACAGAGCTTGTGAGGAATTTCAGCTGCAGGGAATGCACTGGTTAAGCAGTAGTTTCTTTATCTCAAATGTGCTGCTGCAGAGCCCTAGGAGTGGGAAGGGGACAAGAGCTTGTTTGTGGAGCTGGAAGCCTGGGTGGGCACATCCAGGCGTGCTCGCCCTCCAATTCGTTGTATTTAAATACACCTGTCTCTAATTCTCTTTGTAGAAATCTCAGCTGGTGAGCTCGGATGTGCTGGTGCTGAGGGTGCAGCACCTTGAACACCAGGCAGAAGTTAGTCAGTTTTTGTGCTGAAGAGACATGGACCACAACCAAACCTTGAGGGATGGCACTTTTCCCCCGTATTTCAGGGGTACTGCCTCAGTGAAGCTGGATCTGCCTTGGTAAGAAATCTTTCTGTGGGGAAGGCGGGGGGGCCATGGCTGAGGTTCTGGTGTGGATGGGTGCCAGTGCACTCAGGGAGTATGTTATAGGTGTTTCAGTGTTGTTTTTTGGGGCCTCAAGGATGGGAGGGCAGAGTTGCTGCCCCAGCAGCTCGGGATCAAAACAGATAGAGACATGATGACGTATAAGGGCAAGGTGGTTTATGGCCAAGAGAAGCTTATTTATACTTAAAATCAGAGAGGGGTAAACCTACAAGACTGTTGCTATCAGACCAGAGTGTATGCAGGCCTTCAGAGCAACCACAAACACGTTTCTCCCTTCTAAGGCTCATTATCCTAATATAGAAAGCTCCTGGAGATAACACTGTGCTGGGCATACAGCAGAGCCTATGCTCCAGGCACAGGGAGTAAGTGTTGAGGCAAGAAATGACTTTTTCCTGGCATGACCCACTAAGATTGAACTGGAATGGCAATTAGAAGTTGAAGTGCTCATTTAATGTCAGTGATGTGTAAACTATGTTGCCATTGTTATTTTAGTGCTGATTTACATAATTGGCATACCCTGAAGTCACACTGCACGAACTTTCAGTTCATGCTAAAGACTTGCAGGAAGTCATAAAATTAAACATTATCTGTGCTGGAATGCAACAGAAAAATAACTCGGCTTTTGAGGGATTTCACCTTGCTCGGTGTCCCCTCTCCCACCGTGTGCACGGCGGCGAGTGAAAATCAGGTTAGCGAGTGTTGGGAGCTGCTGGCATGAAGGAGCTTTAGCAGCTCTTTAATTAGGCTGGTGCATTTCTGGGGTGGTTTGTTTTGCTGGTATGTACCTCCCTGGGCGAGCTCCTCATCCTGCAGGGATGCTTCACGGGAATTGCTGGAGTCGTGATAGGGAAGCCCAGGGAAGAAGGTCCACAGGAGGAATTATTGCAGCCAAGATGTGCTGAATTTGTGTCTCTAATCGGTGTTCTTCCTACACTAAAAAGTTGTAAGATGGAGGGAAAAGGCCGCTCCCAAAGGAGGAGCTGGTAATGGAGCTGTCTCAGTTGTTATTGCTTTAAGTCCTCCTCCGCAGTAATTCAAGGTGTCACAGGTTGGCTGTGCCTTTTGCAAATGAAGCCCCTGAGAGATATTGGGAAGAGGAGGTGGAGCACAGAGCACTTGCCTTGCCGGGAAGGCACCGGGACCCCGGCTAATGATGGCGTGCCGATGGCTTTGGCTTTGATGAGGACCCTAAATTGCTAGGTATCGCATACCTATGCAAGGGCCTGGCCCTACCGCAGAGCCCAGGCAGACAAACAAGACATGGGGCAAAGGACACAGCCCTGCTCTCGAGTTACTCTGTATCAGGAGATTTGCCAGCGTCGGGAAGGGATCGAGGGATGCAGCTGGGATTGGGAGCCTAATCGCTCTGGGCACGGACCTGCCTTCTCTACCCGTGCGCCACTGTCGTACTGCATGGGCGATGCCATGAGCTGCAGCCCGGAGGGCACCGGCGTGAGCACGAGTGGGTCCCGGCCCCGCGGGGAGCGCGGCTCAGCCCCGGGGCAGGTGCGGGGCCGCGGGCGGCGGTTCGTGCCGGGGTTGCCGTTCCGGGCCGGGCCGGGCGATCCGCCGCAGTTCCACCACTGGAGGGCAGCCACATCTTAAAAAAAACCACCCAGCCCAACCCCTCCGCCGCCCGCACGGGCTGAGCCCGCATTGGGATGCGCCGCGGCAGCGCTGCGGGAGGAGACTTCTCCCGAGTCCGGGCGCTTCTCTTTCGGAGAGGAGAGCGAGGAAACCCCCAGATTTCCAGCCCTCGCCCCTGGCTCGGGCAGCGGGCTCTACGCTCCGGTGGGGGAAGAAAAACAAATAAGTACATGTATGTATTTTTAAAGTAGTTCTAAAGCTCCGGGATTCTCCCGGTACCTTACGTGACCTTCGCACCTTACCACCCCGGCAGTCCGGAGCACGGCGCTAATCCGATTTGCGGCGGCGGAGCGCTCAGGCTGTACAATGGGTCATTGTTCGACCCGGCCCGGTCCCGCTCCGCCACTGGCGCCCGGAGCGGGACGCGGGACTGGGCGGGCCGGGGGTCTTTCCGCATCGGATCAGCCGCCGGTACCACAATTTAACGGGACAGCCGCCCGCCACATCCCTCGCTCCGGCGGCACTGCGACCCGGGCGCGGGCGGCAGCCGCGGCGAGGGAGGGAGCGGGCGAGGGAGGAGGGAGGGAAGGAGCGAGGGAGGGAGGCGGCGTCTCCTTTAAAAGCCGTGCGGGGCCGCAGCCCGCTCCCACAGGGCGGCTGTGATTGGCGCGGGCCCCCGAGCCTCCGGGGTCGTGACATCGCCGCGCAACAAAAAGCCGCGGCGGCGGCGGCGGGCGGCCACCCCCGGCCATGGTGCGGTGCGGGGCCGGCGGGGAGCCCGGCGCGGTGCCCTAGAGCGGCCGCTCCACGCGGGACGGCGGCGGGCGGCTCCCCACCCCTTTTTTTTTTTTTTTTTTTTCCCCCCCCTCTTTTATTTACCCTCCTCCCTCCTTTTTCCTTTCTTTTTTAAGGGAGCGGAGACAAGTCAAGCTTCATCTTGATGTTGCTGCGGGAGTCTCGGTAAATGTCCATCTGTCTGATGAGCGTGATGCAAGGGACATTTTTGAAAAGGAGCCTTTTAACTCCGTAGACACGTAGGGACCCATTCACGGGCAGGCACACACACGCGAGGAGGAAGAAGAAGAAGCAACTTCACGATCGCTGCTTTTAAAAGGGAGAAGCTTTTTCCCTGGCTGGGACTTGCCTTCTGCCTCCTCAACCAGCTGCTAAAAGTATGTTTCCGAGGCGGACTGCACTTCAGGGAACTTCTATTTTCTGCTCGGCAGCTGTAGAGGAGCAGCAGCGAAGTTTGGAGTAACACCAAGTGATGCGGGAAAAACACCCCGAGAGCAGAACACCCTCCTGCAGACACAACCCCTGCTGCTGCACACAGGTATAGCTCCGGCGGTCGCAGATCCGCTGAAAGCCTTCTCCGCAGGATGACTCCGTGGGCCACGGCGGAGGTGCTTGCGCTCTGGAAGAGAGAGGGGGGACGGGACACTAATCATAACTATTATTACTATTATAATAATCCAGCCCAAAGTTTCACGGGGGAGAATGTCATCCTGTGGGTTTGGCTAAGGACGTAGCAGGATATGTATTTTCCTCCTTCCCCTTCTTCCACTCCGCCGAGGGAAAACAGCTCTCCTTTTCCCTCCGCTGAGGGAAGCCGCTGCCCCGCCGCGAGGGAAGCGGAGCCGGCCCCGAGCCCCCGCGGCTCGGCTCAGCGGGGTGTGTGGGGGGAAGCCCGGGGGTCGGGACGGGAGCTCAGCGAGGAGCTGGCTTTGCTGGGCAGCCGCCCCTTCCCTTCCCGGCGAGCGGCGGCGGGAGGCCCGGCCCGGCGCACACCTGCGCCCCGGCCCCGGCGGTGCCCCCGGCCGCGTCCCCTCCTCCCCTTCACCTCCGCGCTCCTTTGTTGCGGAGCGCCCCGCTCCGCTCCCCCGTCCCGCCTCGTTCCCTTTGATCTCCTGCCACGGGGATTTCGGTGCCGCTGCGCACCTGAAGCGGCCCCTCGGGGGGCTCCGCCGGCCGGTCCGCGGCGGGGGCTCCGCCGGCCATGGCCCGGCGCCGGGGTGGGTCGCACCTGCGGACCGTCCCCGCCCGTCCCCCCCACACCCCCGGCGCGGTGTCCGCGCTGACTGGCTCCCATCGCCTCCTCCTCCGCGCAGGTTGATCATGGTTGCCGTGACGCGCTCGCTCCTGGCGCTGCTGCTCTGCCAGGCGCTGCTGGGCGGCGCGGCCGGGCTCATGCCCGAGGTGGGTCGGCGGCGTTTCAGCGAGCCGGGCCGCGCCGCCTCGGCCGCGCAGCGCCCCGAGGACCTGCTCAGCGAGTTCGAGCTGCGCCTGCTCCACATGTTCGGGCTGAAGCGGCGACCCAGCCCCGGCAAGGACGTCGTCATCCCGCCTTACATGCTGGACCTCTACCGCCTGCACGCGGGGCAGCAGCTGGGGCAGCCGGCGGCGCTGGGCTTCCCACTGGAGCGGGCGGCCAGCCGCGCCAACACCGTCCGCAGCTTCCACCACGAAGGTACGGCCGGGCGGGGGCTCCGCGGGCTGCGGGAGCGGAGGGGAGGGCAGGGCAGGGCCGGAGGAGGAGCGGGGGGCGGATTCCTCCCGCCGGTACCGCGGGGTTCGCGCAGTGCGTCTCCCGGCCGGGTGCGCTGCCCGACGGGTTCTGCTGAGGAGCTCGGGCTCTGCTGCGGAGCTCTTGCTCTGCCAAATCCCTTCTTCCCTCTCGTCGTCCGCCGGGGCGCTCCCGGTTTATTGATTTTTCCCGCTAAACCAGCGCGACTCCGCGTTAAGCGTTCCCATAGATCGCCGCTCTCCTGCGAGGCTAGAAAGCAGGGAAGGCTCCCTAATGCGCGGCTGAGCCGGGCCGCTGCGGAGGTTTCTAATCCTTATCTAATCCCCGTGAGAGATCAATGAAACAGTCGATCGCGACGTCCTCGGGGGCTGCCGTCGAGGAGCGCTGCAGCCAGACCCACCCGGGCTCGCAGTGCCCGGGCTGGCCAAAGCCCCGTGGCCGCGCTCGGCTCTCACCTGCGAGGCTCCCGCAGCGCCTCCGCATCACGTCCCCGCCTGCAGCCCCTCGAGACAGCGATAGTCCGGGACAGAGCCTCACTCCGCACTCGGGGGCGTTTCCCGGCGCTGTAGCCAAAGCAGCGGCTGTGGCATTACCCAGGCCCGTGGAGCTGGTGGGGCGCGTGTCGCTCACGTGCTTTTTTGGGAAGCCTTTCCCCAGGTTGTAATTGCTCCTGGCTGCGGCTCTCCGGTGCTGCCATGCAGTGGCCCCGCTGCAAAAGTAATGAGAACTCCGTTTCCCTCTGCTTTTAGAGTGAAGCTGTGTCAAGAAAAGATATTAATTAGTTTTTAAGTTTCTGAAAGGAGGCGGCCTTTGAGAAGTAGATGTGCTGTTTAGTGGAAAGCCTTATGGTGAGGAAGATGAATGGTGAAATCTAACCTCTCCTCATCCACGTTTCCCTGCATGGGAAGTAAAAACCTGGCAGTTAACGGGGAAAAGCCAGCACGCCGGTCATTCATGTTAAACCCAAGGACTGTGGGCAAGGGGCTGAGTGAGAGAGGAGTTGAAAGGGCAAAGTTGATAAGGTTTAGGCAAATGTGAAAATCTGCAGTTGGAAATAATCATACGACTACAGCAAAAGCTGATTTTGTTAGAAAATCAGTGTTATAGGTTTTTTTTAATTTGGAAGAAAATCAGTGTGGTTCCCGTTTTTTCACTGAGTTCTGCTCTCAAGAAGTCACTGATGCAGTGAGAAGTTTGTCTTGTGACCATTCAAAAATATTTGCATGTTAACAAATACTGGTCTGGTCCTGAAAGACCATAATGCTGAGCCTTACCTTATGCAGAAATTTGTATTGGATTCAAAGGAGAATGGTTACACGACTAAGAATTGCTAACAACAGTTATGGCTCCCCCTTAGAAAGTGCTTTTTTTCCTTCAGTATGTTTAGCACCAAAGTTAAAAACCGTGAGAGAGTTTTCTTTTGGGAAATACTTTTAAATTCTTAATGTCTGTAGCAACAATGTATTTAGCAACCCTAGGTATATTGTACTCCTCCTGAAGCTCCATTCAGTTGTTACTCAAAGGTGGGAATGGCCTGGAGTTTAGTGGTTGCTGGAATGTTTAGGTTTTGGTGGTTTTATAAACTTTTTGTTTGGAGGTGACTTTGTTTCATTATCTCTTTTCTATCCACCCTTATTTCAGCAGTTGAATCTTCCTGCTGTTCTTTATGCCCCTTTTGGGTAAATACTGAGGCATGCTTCATAAAGTACCGTTATGGATGCTGAGTTCACTGTCTCTAATTAAACACAAAAATATCCATACGTTAAGATTTGTAGGTCACCTAAATTGCAGAGTAATGTGTTTCAGAATGGAGTTTAAGGGATTGATGTTAGAGCTGTATTCTCAGAAAAAATAAGAAATACAACAGTTACCCAAAGTCTTCCACCAGTTTTAATGATTCTCCAGTAGCTATAGTGCTTGAGTTTTTCATTCATGTCCTTGAAGACCCAGTTAATGCTGTGTATTTCTTGCTTCTAATGATACCTGCCTGGGAGACAAATGCCACCAGGATCCAATCCAAATGTGTAACAATGGATGAAGCATTTTTAACTTCATGCTGTAAATGCTTGCATAAACAAACTAACAAGGGACACAGTATTTTCTGCCTGAAAGTCTTTCAGGTCTTGTGTGTCACATGTGGTAGCTGTCATTTGAAAGCTGCTATCAGCAGACAGGCTTAAGGGGCGTGATTGTCTCAGTTTCTGATTTTTTTCCTTTTTTCTCTCTTTATTTTCCCTGTTTAATCAAATTAGAAGTTTTGGAAGAACTGCCAGAAACGAGTGGGAAAACAGCACGGCGTTTCTTCTTTAATTTAACTTCCATCCCTAACGAGGAGTCTATCACCTCAGCTGAACTGCAGATTTTTCGGAAACAGGTGCACGGAGCCTTTGAGAACAACAGCAGCTACCATCACCGTATTAATATTTATGAAATTATAAAGCCAGCCACAGCCACCTCTAAGGACCCTGTCACAAGACTTTTGGACACCAGGTTGGTGCATCATAATGCAAGTAAATGGGAAAGTTTTGATGTAACGCCCGCTGTTTTGAGGTGGATTGCACATGGACAACCTAATCATGGGTTTGTGGTAGAGGTGGTTCACTTGGACAAAGAGAACAGTGCCTCCAAGAGGCACGTTAGGATTAGCAGGTCTTTACATCAGGATGAAGATAGCTGGTCTCAGCTCAGGCCATTGTTAGTGACGTTTGGGCATGATGGCAAGGGACACCCGCTCCATAAAAGAGAAAAGCGTCAAGCGAAACACAAACAGCGTAAACGCCACAAATACAGTTGCAAAAGGCATCCGTTATATGTGGACTTCAATGATGTGGGGTGGAATGACTGGATTGTTGCCCCACCGGGGTATAGTGCCTTTTACTGCCATGGGGAATGTCCTTTTCCTCTGGCAGATCATCTAAACTCAACAAACCATGCCATTGTTCAGACTTTGGTCAATTCAGTGAATTCCAAAATCCCCAAGGCTTGCTGTGTGCCGACAGAACTGAGTGCTATTTCCATGCTCTACCTTGATGAAAATGAAAAAGTTGTATTAAAGAACTATCAAGATATGGTTGTGGAGGGTTGTGGGTGCCGCTAACACAGCAAATATATTAGACAAATGCAAAAAAAAAAATAGCTGACACTTTAATATTTCCCAATGAAGACTTTATTTATGTAATGAAATGGAAAGAAAAAAACACAACTATTTTGAAAATATATTTATGTCTACGAAAAAGTTGGGAAAACAAATATTTTAATCAGAGAAATATTCCTTTAAAGATTTTAAATGTATTTTAGTTGTACATTTTATATGGGTTTAACCCCAGCACATGAAGTATAATGGTCAGATTCTTATTTTGTATTTATTTACTATTATAACCACTTTTTAGAAGAATAGCTAATTTGTATTTATATGTAATCAAAAAAGAAAAAAATATAGGGTTTGTACATAATTTTCCAAAATTGTAGCTGTTTCAATTGTGTGTATTTAAGTTGAAAAGAATACATGGAAGGTTACTATGGCAAAGTGCATAGCACATTTGCTTTCTGCTGTGCTACTGTTAAGGTCACAAGTTCAAGTCCAGAAAAAAGTGGATAATCCACTCTGCTGACTTTCAAGATTATATTGTACAATTCTCAGGAATGTTGCAGGGTGGGCTGTCCAATCCATGAGAACTGGCATCCTCTTTAGGTGGAACATTTGGATAAGAACCAGACGTTGCTGATCTAGTATAAATACTGCTATTCCCAACTAATTTGCAGTGTGAATATAAGGGCCAATAGAAATCCTGCGGGAGGTGGGGGTGGGGGAAGACTGAATCCTTTCTAGACCTACAGAAAAGTGAATGTTTGATGTTTCCTTTAAAAGTCCTTCCTTTAAAAGTCCTGGCCAAATATAAAATAATAAAAGCTAAAATGTCATCCTTTTTTTTGTGATTATCTATGCTAAAGAGGAATACTTACCTAATTTGTACCGGCCCTTGTCTTTAACAGTTGGAAAAGCCTTGCATACTTCCTCACCTCAGATGAGAGCTCACTTCTGTGGAGTGTTACAGTAAAATTAATCTGCAATTTTTGCCCTACATACAGCAAGCTGTTGTCATATGCAGCCTCCTATCTAACCTCAGCTGATGGTTTTGCTGTTTGGCAGATTAGCCTCTCTTCATTTCCAGGGTTTTGTGTTGGAAACCTTTTTTTTTTTTTTTTTCCCCCAAATGTTTAAATCTATTTCGGATAATAAATCATAGAATTCTGATATTTCTTTCTGAGAAGTCCAGTCTGTAAGAAAAAATGGTTCACTTGTGCTTGCATCATCTTCCTGTTTCCTAAATCCTTCGTGTAAGGGGCAAAGTGGGATTTGCAGTAGGCAAACAGAGCATTGGAGCTGATGCTGATTGTGCCTGTTGCATGTTCCACACGTGGTGTGGCAGGCAGAGCCTGGGGCGTTGTGTGAGAGCTGTGCTGAAATAGGAGAGCAGGAAAGGAGCTTCAATGGGCTTCTTGGTCACCCCCTGCAGCTCTGTTGTTGGTCCAGTTCTGGATTTGGTGAACTGAGGTGACACCTCCTGAAGCTGTGTGTGCAGTGGGCCCTGTAAGGACCTAAGTCAGCCATGGGAATCTCTGATTTGGGCCTCCTGATGTTTTGTTAATGAACCCCTCTTTTTTTTCTCCTGGCCTTCCCCAGACTTCTCCTTTGTCTTACCAGAATCATGTGGGTTGCAGCAGTGGCACTAACTAGATGGGTTGATCAGAAAGGCTAACCTGATGATGTCTTGAAGGTCTCTTGTAGAACAATCCTTTACTGCTGCTCATCACAAAAAGCAGAGGGTACAGAGAGAAACTAATTACCTGGTGTCTGCTTCTGGTTTGTTTTTTTTTTCTTAAAGTGGAAAAGAGCTGAAAAATCTCTTGGGATGTAAGGTTCTGTGGTGAGATAAAACCGATGCATTTCTTTGTACCAGCAGCATTTTTAACAGCTGTCAGAGAACAATCCCCCACTCTGCAGTTGGACTCTGCTTAATTTTGAGAGGTAGCTGATGTTGGTCATGCTGATACTGCATAGCAGCCTGTGGGTTGAGTGAGTGCACAATCTCCAGGTGCTTTTTCCAAACACTGGTGCTGTTTTGGTGACTGATGTTTTTAGGGATGGAGCATCATGTGTGCAGGAGTCTGGTTTACCTTTTGCTTCTTGCCAGCTTTCCTGGTGCTGGATGAGTTTGTGGCTGTTGCTTTGGCAAGGCTGTCAGTGCTGCAGGTGGAGGTTCAGCTAGGATTCAGTGTTTGTGATGTGTGGTTGTGCAGTCAAGTCAGAGCTGTGTTACTGTACTGTAAAACCTAAGCTTGATAAAGGTGACAAGTGCTGAAAATTTAATGATGAGCATGAAAGTTGTGATCCCAACCCTGTGAAATTGGTCAAGAACCCACAGCACTTCCAACCAGACCCTCAGCCCCGGTGTTGCAAAGCTGAAATCTCACAGTTCTTTCATGTGTAACGAGGCTGAGGGAGGCTCTTTACAGAGCAGTGACTGCTTTACTTCTCCTGTAAGGCATGAGAACACATTGATGCTAATTTTGTTGCCAAAAAATTGGCTACAGCACTTGTCTATGCATGAGCAGGAGCTGGCTCATGGCGTGGTGCCGCATTCCTTGCACAGGCAAACCTCCTGGTGCTTGACAAGGAATTGCATCCTTAGTAAAATATACTGGGGGGCCAATGGATCACTGCAAACTTAAGACCCACTCTTTTAGGCATTTCTGTAAAGCTGCTTAGTGTTAGCCACAGAATCAACAGTTCCATACTGATTTTGAGGAGGAAATATGCAGGTGTCAAGCTCAGCACGTCAATAAATTTCTGCAGAACTGATTTTGTAATGTACCTTTAAATCCTTAACCTTAACATCACTCTCTAGGTTGGAGATATGAGAGTGCTGCACTAAAGACTTTGTCTAGGACTTAGAGTAAAAGAAACAGAACAAACTTTCACAGATGAGGAGTAAGAGGTTCTCCTAGAGATCACTTGGGTTCCTGAATTCTTCTAGATAGGGTTGAGGATCAGCCAGCCTTTCTGAAAGGCTTTCTTTGGGCTTTCCAGCATTTTTTCAAAGTCTGGTAATGACTGCTAAATAATGCTAAATATTAAAGGTATGCTGTTATACAGCATACTAGTACTTACTTTAGTTCTTTAGTACTTATTAGCATTATAGTGCTCTATAAGGAGAAAAGAACTTTTTTTCCCTCTTAAGAGGAGAAAAAACAAAATATTTTGAAGGCGAAATTGCCTTTGTTACCCTATAGCTCTCCTAAACATTTTGCTTCTAGGCACTTATATAATCTATATAGGTAGAGATTGTGATAGATAATGTCACCCTTTGTGCATTTCAGATAAGCATCTCTCTAAACACAAATGTGATCAGCATGTCTCCTTGTCCTTTTGAGACTCAGTAGCACCTTTGTCGAGTGGCTTGATAATTTTTGCGCAAAATTCAGTTGGACTTCTGAGGTCAGCAGCATGTAGAGGAGGATCTTCAGTTGAGGTAAGCTCTCCCGAGAGCATTGGCCAATCCCAGCAAGCAGGGGCTGCTCTGCTGGGCTGCCCTGGGCTCACCACAGCCAGGTGTGGACCCTTCCCTGCCCATCCAGGGTTCGGGTGGCCACATCCCTGCTCCCCCCGCCAGGCAGGTGAGGCTCACATCCCCACAAGTGAGGCTCAGAGAGGAACATGATTTGTTGTGCTCTCAGCTGTGGAGGAGGAGGAGCTCATCCACAGTGTTTGTATCAGATCCACTTTGCTACACTATTAGAAGTGGATAATTATTGAGCTATTTTATTGTATGGTTATTCCTAAGTTGTTGATTTTTGGGGTGGTTTTTTTAATTGATTTCAGGAGGCAGCTAATTGCCATATGGCAGCTTGATGTTAATGTTTTATGAAGATCAGGAAACAAAAGTTTATGAAACAAAAGCTTTTGTATAGTAACTGCAGAGTTTCAAGAACTGTTTTATACTTCCTGACAGTGCAGGTCTGGCTTAATGGTTTGTTTTTATTGCTTAAGAGTGTAAACCTTTCTTTAGCCGATGTGTGGAAATTATATCCTCATCCCGCATTACGCATTTCTTATTGCTCATTACTCATTCCTGCTTTCATTGCTGTCATCTGTAATCAGAACTTTACTGTTTCAACTGCATGCAAAATGCTCCTGTCCTTTGCACAGTAAGATACTTCTCCTTAGCATTCACCCACCCTTTCAAAAAAAGAAAAAGGAGGAGGTAAAGAGGGAGGAAAAACCTACTCTGTCTATATTGTTTTCCTCTGTTTTGGGTGGAGTCTGTGTTAGATTTTGGTTGCTAGATGGTTTCTGTAGTAACAAGCAGAGTAAAATCCAAGCCTGAAAAGGCACTTTTAAAGGTGCCATATCTTGCCTGAAGTATTATTTATCTAATTATGGATATGGAATGTTTAGTTTCTCCTTTATATCAAGGCAACCCCTTTTGGGAGGGCAGACTGCTGCTATGAGAACTTGATATGTTGTGATCTTAAAACAGGAGAACCACAAATCTTGTTCCCAGTTGACTTAAGCTGCTGAAAATAATAACAAAAAAGCCAAAGGCATTAAATGCATTTTTAAAGATTGCTACAGGCAACAGACCACTTCGGATTTTTTTAGTTGCAAAGGAAAGGAACAAGAAGCTAGGTTCATAAGGACACTTGGATTGTACATGTTAGTGCAGTAAGGAGGGTGTTGGATACAAGAAACAGTGGTTTGTTTTGTTAGACTACTGTGTACAAGGAAAAAAATCCTGGCTCCTTCAGAATATGACTTTGCTGCACTCCAATTTTTTTTGTTTACTTCTCCAAAGAGGTTTTGCAGGTGTGTGAGAAAGTAGGCACACACATGGTTGCTGCTTTTGCCTTGCTTAGGCACAAAAGGAATTCTAAAAGTATTTTAAGATTACTGCTTTTCTGTCTCTCCAGTACTAATCCTTCATTACCTGTATTCCTGACAGCTTTGCCTGCAACAAACAGTAATGGTTTTCTAAGGTGGAGTTTCCTTTTTTTTGGAATCTCATCACCTGTTAGCGCCCTCCAGGATTTAGCAACCTATGAGCCCTGTGGAACAGTACCTTGGAAAAGCAGGTACACTGGGTTTGTCCTGGTTCTGTGTCCTTTGCAGAGACAACTCTGTCTCAGCCTTCAGCAGGAATCTTAGTTTGGGGCAGGTCTGAAGGCATGCACCCACTGGGCACAGCAGGGACTGTGGGTGGAACTTGCCAGAAATATGAGGGCCAGAGCTCATTTCCATCTGTATTTCCATAGTGCTGTGAAGGCACTTGGCTGGAATACCTGCCTGGGCTTGTGTTGCCCTCCATAGAGGAACAGAGACTGAGAGCTCTTGTACCTCTCCAGGGGCAGGGAATTTGCACTGGGCAGCCTGGTTCTTGGCTCAGGAGAGGTGGGTTTGCTCTTCACAGTTCATTCTTGCAGGGCCTTCTGCAAAATATGCTTGGCTGCCTCCACAGAAATGAGACCAGAGCCACTGTGGGTGAGGTCTGCAGTGGAAGGGAGCAGGTCAGTGTGGGTTTAGTTTGAAAAAAGGATTTTCATCAGGGCAGTAGGGAAAAACCCCGCAGGCTTTTGAAGCTGAAAATGTTAAAAACTTTGAAGGGGACTTCAGGTAGAGAGAGCAGAGAATTGATGACATTATGAAAGTTCAGGTTCCCACAACAGCTGGACTGGGGAAGATTTACAGTTTAATGAGGCTGATAATCCCATTAGAGATTAAATTAAGAAGGTTTTTCTGGGAGATCACCAAGAAAATTATGAGTATTGTACTGTAGCTTGGCTCATAATGCCAAGGCTGACATGTACTTCTTGCACTGCAGGACACTGTTTCATTCAGTGTGTCTCATTAAAACAAAGCCTTCAACTCCAGCAGTGTTTCACTACAAACAGAGGCAAATTATTATTATTAGTTTTTATTACTACTACTACTACTATTATTACTATCATCATCATCATCTTCCTGGAAACAATATGCAGATTAAAAGATGGCAATATCAACCAGATCTGCAAATCAGCACAGCTCTACTGAGTTGGTTCTCAGACAATCCAGTTGTTTTTATTAGAGCAAACCCTCAGGAGGCAGGGTGACCACGTATAAAAAATAATGTATTTAAGGTAACGATTGACATAACTCCTGTAGCTTGGAACTTGCACAAACCACTTTTTATGGCATCCTGCACACCCTAGTGATGGGAAAG